GTTGATTAGAAAAAAAATAACTTGAACTAAATCAGTAATTGAATATGACAATAAACACGGTTTCCAATTTTCATATTTATACATTATGAGAGGGAATTGATGAAGATAATTCATTATTGAATAATGTTCAGATCATGTACAGATGTGGTTGTTGACGAATTGAACACATTACTTAATACTCTCAGGGAAAGTAAAATACTTTTGGAAGCTTATAAACAAACATGTAACATCAAGATAAGATTGTTATTGACTGTTAGCCTAATAATTTAAATTTATATTTGTGGCTATTTTATACTACATATATGACAGTGCTTTATTCATGCTATCGTCTTTTGTTGGGACAAAGAATGCTCTTCTAACATATCATCTCCTGTCTGTTTAGTCGCCTGAGGGTTTAACACTTTGTAGTGTTATTATTATGATTTGGTCATGTGGTCTATCTAGTTCACGTAGATTCTAAATCTTATTGGAATGATCATTTTACCGTTTGTACATTTGAAATGATCAAATAGTTTCTCAAATCATTACAAATTTCGAAACAGCTCATGAAGAATCCCTAATTACTCGTCCATAATTTACAGGTGAAGGACCTAGAGAAATGAATATGACATGCATTCAGTTGAGAAACATATTAAAAGATGAATTACCAAGACAAGCAATAGTACTCCGTTTATTGATTTAAATGCTCATGTGAAGAAAGTCATATTGCCCAATGTTATGGAAGTTTACTTATTCGAACTTGTGAATAATTTTCAGTGGGGTGTAGTTAGGACTATCAGAAATTATATCGTAGTTTATTTATTGAAATTACCATTTTGCCATTTGGTGAATAAAGAAGGAACGAATTAAGCGATGAAATTTCTTTTCAATTAGTTTTTCATCGTGACTCTAGACTAATATATCTAAGTATGATTTACACTAATGATATAATACTCATCGAGTGGATACGTTACATAATGATAATTACATAATGACATTTAAATTAACATTGAGTAATTGGAAGAAAGAGGATTATTAATATTCAAAGTAATCGATAAGTTGCTATGTTGCGTAATATAAAAAACAAAGAAGGAACAGAATTTTAACGGATAGTCAATAGGATAGTAGTTACGTAAAAATCAAGAGGTGAATGTTGAGAAGTTATAAGGCTCAAAAGCAAATTAAAAAAAAAGAAGTGGAAGAAGTATGAAAAATAGTTCTTATGATGGAAATCTTACACCGAAGGCCAGGGCAGAGAAAGTGGTTGTACGAATTTCTTTTGGATGCAAAGGTCAGGTTTGTGAACATAGATTGCGATGGCTTCCGCAATGTGCAAAAGGCGCACTCGTAAACCATCTGGTAGATTTGATACAATATTGTATATAACCCCAAAAACTTTATTCAATTCGACTTGATGACCTGTATCAACCAAGTGAGAGAGAATAGAACTTTTAATCACTTTTACCTGTCCTTTGCTTAACCACGACGGATGATGTTCAGTAATACGATGACGGACTTGCCGAATTGTACGCCCAATATAACTGGCTCCACAGGAGCAGTTGAAATGATAGATACACATAGATTTGGCGAATTCAAGCAGTCTGTCTTTATTGGCTATTCTTATTTTGGGATGGTTGTACAAGATGGCATTTAATCTGGCAGCATTAAATGTTTTTTGTACGGCTCTTCTTAGTTTCTGAGTCACGATTTCTTCAATGGTGTCATTTATGAATTGTAGTTTTATGAATAGTACCTTCTTGTGGACAGTGTGTATCTTTGTCCTTGTTTCCTTCTCCATCATATGCTTGTCGATGAATTTCATGGGATATCCATTCATACTAATATTCGGAACCTACCATATTGATGTTACTTGTTCAAATATTCAACCGATGTATCAACTGGAAAATTTTGGTTTAAAATAAACTATGTCTGATGCGGTAAATATTTATTCAAGAAATTATACTAAACGCTACAGAAAGATTTGTGAAGAAAGAAGTCTTTGTAATTCTTGAATTGATATCAATTATTATTATTATTATTACTACCCATTAACATTTTATATTATATTTACTCTAGATTGTGAGGACTTTAAATGTTATTGATTATGTACATACACAGTGTTGTAACGTGTGTAACTGCAGGTTTTTGATAAGCAACGTATTTATCGATCGCTTCTGTGACAGTGGACACGTAAACACGTAGCGGATGACCTAGTGCCCTGATTGGCCCTGCTTCGCTGTCTGTCCTAGCCAGTTGAGTCAAGAACGCAAGTCACAGCCTCTGAGTTATGAATCATTGTATTTCAAACATACTTTGTTTATATACCAATCAAGCATACCACATCATACCATAAAATAGAAAACAACATTTTGTACAATATTCAACAAGTGAACAGATATCGACCAATAGGAAATGTTCATTTAAAGTCCAAGGACACCATTGGACTTAACATGATAATTATTGGTCTATTCCACCGCATCCACAACACACAGAAACATGATTTTCACATACTATTTAGATGTAGATCTACTTTAGCTTGGTAAATTGAAACAAAATATTGATTTTTATGTAGAACTGATAGAATTCCCTGTTTCAGTTAGAGCACCCAAATAGTATCCAAGTCCTCACATAAGTCTTATGATGAAATGTGCCTTTTTAAAAAAATCAATAATTATGTGTTTAAATAGAATTATAGTGATCATATCAAAGTATGTTCTTTCTATCAATCTAAATAGTTAAGCTGAATACTTTTTTTATTTACTAGAAAATTAATCCCTTTCATAGTTATCTAAAGAAGAATAAGTTTTTCTCCTTGATTAACTATAAACGATGTTTCATTGATAAAAGATAGACATTTATGTATGTATATGATATAGATCATGTCATAAACAGAAACTATTAGTTCTATCATTACTTCAGGCAATCTGATTCACTTGTCAATATATTTATTCAATTATTAAAATGTTATATATCAGACAGTCTCTTCATCCTTTACACATACGGAATAGAACAACAACAACAATAACAACAGCAACTTGACTTTTAATGTTTCATTGTTGATTAACTAAGAAAATTCCGAATCTTAAAGTTAGATTACTGTGTTCAGGATTGTTTTGAATAACTTCTAATCAGTTAGTATTTTGATACTTTCATTAAAATTGAATACAGTTCAATAAATAGATCGTAAACCATGGATCCAACCATTTTTTTGATTATTCAGATCAGATAACAATTCAATGAATAATAATACTGCTTGAGCATCTGAGCTACCTGTTCCTGTCATCTAGATATTTTAAAAAGTTACCTAATTTTTTGTTTTGTTTTCATATATCATTATGTCTATTAATCGCATAACCTATCCTGGTGCATTTCTGAAAAGTGTACAACCTTTCGTTGTCAAATTTACAAGAAGCTCAATAAGAAATAATGTGGTCGCTGGCAATATACAACGAAAAGAATGCACATTATTCAGATGTTCATTTACTGGACTGCTAACATCTAACTGGCGATCACTCAATATGTTATCGTCAGGATCGACCAAGAAGTAAGAAACGGAAACTTGTTGAAATACTTTGCGCTGAGAATTCTATATTGTACCAAAAATATCATATTGAATAAAGCTGATAATAATTTCCATCTTATCATTCAATTTCTTGAATATATAATTTTGAATATCACAAGGTATTTAGATATAGATTTTCTATGATCTGTATAATACTTGATCGTTTTACCATTATTCAAGTCAACATTCAAAGTTCATATTATGAACAAGAGAAAATGTAAAACACATTTTAATTTCTAGTAATGAATGATTATGAAAGAATGAAACATGAATCCATTGCATTTCGTGGGGGATTTTCAGTTATTTACAATATAGAAACTACGATATTAGTCATCAAAACATCAGGAAAGTTCTAACTGAATAACATTGGATTTTAAATTGTTGCAAAGAATTTTTAATAGAGGGTTTGTATAGACTGTTAAGTTTCATAGTTTTCTCTAAGGATTGACTTTATTTAGATACCTACTGAAGATTAAGAAGCACTTGCAGGCCGTTTTGTCATAGTATAAGATTACTTAACAGTACAAAACCATGATTTAACTAGAGATGAAACTGAGGACTCTTAGACGTTGTGGCAAACCCTTAACTTTGAAACAACTGAGTAAATATCTACTAATCTACATGTTTAATAGAAATCAATTCATGGTACTGATCAAGCATCTATCAATGTTGTTGGTAAGTCACTGTCTATTATCCGATATGGCTGAACTCCATAATTTCGCACTAAAACGTAAGTAATCATCTCTCTAAATCAGTCCCTATTAAAAACATGATTATTGTTATAGAAACTTGTGGGTATACAATGTTGAGGAGTCCCATAAGATGGACTGTTTAGCACAATTTAAAACATATCGAAATTTATTAAAATTCCCGAATAATGACTAAATTATTGGTTGAGATCATGAATCAATTGATGTTAAACCACCGTTGGAAACCTGGAAGCACTGAACGGCCGTTTCGTCCTAGTATGGGACTCTTCAGCAGTGCGCATCCACGATCCCGCACCCCGCGGGATTCGAACCCAGGACCTATTGGCTTCGCGCCTGAGCACTTAACCATTAGACCACTGAGCCGGCGTTTCTCTTTAGAAAATTGTTCTCAATTTAATATCAATTCATTTTTAAGAATAAATTATTATTTGATGAATAACATTCATTTACATAATTGGATATGAGTGAATAACAGTAAGTTAAAGGCCTATATACTGATATTTGCTATTCTATGACCTGCATATATATAGAGAGAGCAAGAGAGAGAGAGAGGGAGGGAGAGGGAGAGAGAGAGAGAGAAGGATATCAATCAGATTGAATAATTATTCATTTTGAATGGAAATGAACGCATGTCCATCTCACTATCATTTCACCCCTTTGCTTGAGTATTAAAAATTTCCCTTATATATCTATTTATTATTATTACTGTTTTTTAAAAAATGTGCCAAATATTTTAACTGGTTAAAATAATCTCCAAGTGTGTACATCAGGGTGATTATTTTATTTTTCCGCTATTTTTTTTTTTTTCGTATGTGATATAATTACAAATCCATTTGGATTTCTTTCATGAAGATCAAGTGAGAAAAGTACAAACGTCTATGCAACTTCAAATGAATGACTGAACTTTAATAATCAAGAAATCTTTCATACATAACAGAATAAAGAAAAATGTAATTCACTTAATAATTTATCATACTGTAAACTATTTCGTGGAACATACTTTTAATGGTGATATGAATTTACTTATTATTAAAAAAAAGTAAGTGTTCCAATGATTCACAAATATGTACATTTAGTTAGATAGTTGTGTATATATATATATGTGTAAATGAATATACATATTATATGGTATAATAGAAACTCTGCAAGGAGACCCTCTGAGGCTACTTCCTATCCAAAGTGCGGATAAAGAAGGAGGGTTGGGTATGGGGTTAGTGACCTCATCCCATGGAAAACCAACTCGCTAAAAAAATACACTAACCAGTATGTTATCATAGAATGTAGATTTTGTGAAACCAATTTCTTTCGTAGTAAATTACCCGCTATTTTGTTGATAATATAAAATTTAAAAAATATATACAGAACTACTATTTAATTATATTCCAGTTAAAATGATTTTCATCTGGATATTACTGTAGTTTGGTTTGGTGGAAATTTTCACGTTTGTAACCGGTATTGTTCTTTTGTACTTTGTTTAAATTAAACTGAAAACTTGTTTGTTTCACCTGACCATACTTTATATTTAATAAGGTTGACAAGAAGATAATATTCCCATTCTTCGATAATCTTAATCATGTAGGTAGCATAAATCCCTTCCATTTAAAGTTTTAATTAGTCGCCTCCGGTTACTTACTTTACTTACGCTTGGTACTCCTCGTGAAGGAGCATAGGCCACTCAGCAGCATTCTCCATGCAACCCTGTCCTGGGCAATCCTTTCCAGCTCCTTCCAGTTCTTATTCATCCTTTCCATATCTGCTTTTATTTCCCGACGTAATGTGTTCTATGGCCTTCCTCTTTTCCGCCTTCCTTCAGGATTCCAAGTTAGGGTTTGTCTCGTGATGCAGTTTGACGATTTGCGTAGTGTATGTCCTATCCATTTTTATCGTCGCCTTTGGTATACCCAGATAAGGTATACTTTGATTTTCAAGTTCTTTCTTCAGTATTTAGAAAATCTCATGGATTGTTAGGCTTTGATTAGAAATAATAATAATAATAATAATAATAATAATAATAATAGTAAGGCTACACACTATTCAATGTTTTTTTAAAGGGTTAACATAGAGTTGTTTTCATGCTTAACATGAAATAGAGCAATATATGATGTAACTTTAATTTATGTGAAGTGAAATGCAAGCGGCAATTTTAATCACCACTTACTAAGTATTACATAACATTAGTAGAATTCCTTTCATGCTAATCAATAGATATAACTCTAAATGAATTATGAATTCATTCAATGTATTTCAATCGAATATATCCATGAATTTATGTCATACTCATTACCAAATACTTGTTTCTCGACATGACAACGTTAAGCTGAAGCTTTCATGAAAAGAAGTTTTTTATCTTTGTACCACTTCACCTGAAGTATAGTTTAAAAGGTAATTTGTATAAGATATTGAACTCTATTTACATATTGAAAGATGGATGGTGGCTAGCAGTGAGATACAGAATGCACGTATCGTCAGCTGGATGTACCTGCATCTCAGAGTTGATGTTTACTCTAGGACTCGCACCCAGTACCGTTTGCTTCAAACGTTACAATGGAAAGATACAAGTGAATCTAAAACTATGCTAGACTTCTATAACAATGAAATTACATATACAGAGATATCGGTATATAAAATTACGTTACTTAGTTGTTTAAAAGGAAATTTGAATAAACCAATACTGCTTTGTTTGCAATACAACAGATATTCACCATAACTATATACAGAGTTTCTTTCATCTTATTTGAGTTGGTGTTTATATGAAAGAGAGTTGTATAAATTTTACTTATTATTATTATTCTTTCTTTTATATATTGAATATCACTTATGTTAAGTTGAATGATTGATCTCACCTTTATAGTATTAGGTACTTTTAAAGATAGTTGAGTAAACAATCTGACAGCATGTTTGACCTAAATAAGCACATAAAATCTCTAATATATATCTCTAATATATCGTTTTATTATCAGGAAATGTTTATCATACGGTAACATGAAAATATCGATACCATTGTTCTATGACCTGAATACCAGAACTATTACATTACATATAATAATAATAATAATGATATTTAGTTGACAATAACATTTTAGATAACACCTGTTTAAAAGTTGACTTATTCTTTAGTTAATTATTACTAAACTACACTTGAAAACTTAATCATCCATCTATAAGTGAACATTACAAGATTTGTTAAACTTAAGTTGTGATGAAGGTTATAGAAATTTAATAATTGAATTCATGAGTTAATTGAAGTTAGACCATTACGATCCCACTTTACGAGATCGGTCTCTCGCGTACGAACACCTAACCTCTTGACCATGGTGATTTAGTTTTAATTGACTCATGAATTCAACTATTAAAAATAACTATCATCTTTACAAAACCCCTTTCATAAGGTTATAGACTTTATATTTATCAAAAGGTAATCATAATAATAACAATTTGATTCTATGCTACTTACTCCAATCAAAGAGTCTTTGAGTTGATCGATTTCTCCGTATCATAATGTTCAATGTAGATAGTATTCATACTGATTAGGTCAACTTAGTTACATTTACAACTGTAACCAGTATTCTTTATATGAATAGGATTAGTATTGAAGTAGTGAATGCATCTTGTAAAATAATGTTCAATATTTTATGTATAATTCGAAAATTATGGAGATTTGCAGCTAAGATGAATGATCTTGACAGTTTTATATTCTCTGAGGAGTCTTGATTGTTATCCTTAACAAGATCTTCAGTTTCTATGTCATTTGGAAGTGAGATTTCCCGTTGTTTCACAAGTGCTGTTTCAGTCAGGGTAAACTGAGATACTCATTTCTGTATCAAGTAGAAGCCGGGAATTTTTTTTCAAAGATAACAATGAAGAATTCACAATTAAACTATTTAACTTTGAGACCATAGCATCACGAAAACTCAAAATTTACGTGACCTCTGAAAGCTTACAGTATCTTTGAATGCAGTATAACAATTGTAAGTGAAAAGAAAAACACTTTGTGGACAGAAGAAACATGGATTAGAAATGTCTTTATTTGGATCAAGATAACCAGCGACATATAAGTCATTAACCTAATAACTGAAGAACTGATTCGTGTAGAGATGTTCCTTGGATGTTGATACTGTAAATTAGATTTCTTTATGAAAAAGATAAGTTTTAGAACTGAGGAAACGGTAAAACAACATCCCTTTATGTCTGCTTCCAATTCACGATGCAGTGTGTTCTTTGGCCTTCCTCTTTTCCACTCCCCTTCAGGATTCCAAGTTACGGCTTGCCTCGTGATGCAGTTTGATGAGTTCTGTAATGTATATCCTACCCATTTCCAACGTCCTTTCCTGATTTCCTCTTCATCTGGAACATTGTTTGTTCTCTCCCATAGAAGGCTGTTGATGATGGTATCTGACCAACGGATATTGAGTATCGTGCGTAGACAACTATTTATAAGTACTTATACCTTCTTGATGATGGTTTTAGTAGTTGTCTACGTTTCAGCTCTATACAGTAGAACTGTCTTGATGTTCATATTGAAGATTGTGACTTTAATATTGGTTGATAGTTATTTTGAGTTCCTTATGTTCTTCAACTGTAGGAATGCGGCCCTTGCTTTGCCAATCCTCTCCTTTACGTCTGCATCCTATCCTCTTTCTTCACATATGAGTTTGAACTGAATTCATGTAGTGTAGTAAACTATTTAATGGGATATTACCACTTGGTTAAAAATGGTAGATACAAATATTATTTTGTACATGAATCAGATAGATTATTGCATTCTAAGCATTTCCATTATGAATTACCTTTAATGAAAACATGTAATTTTGATTTATTATTGTAATTATAATAAAGAATATTTAGAACTCTCTGTGTTAAATGATTCAGTTGTGAAGTTCTTAATTATCCGTAGGATATGAATAAAGCCGGAACAAACATTGATGCAGAATAATATGAATTCATTATATTTCATGGTTTCTCATCAACTGCTTACAATTAAATATGTATTAGAATCTTTCAATTGAGGTAAGATATAGTGTGGAACAACTGACATGAGTGAATGTAAAGAGTTGGAATGACAAAGGTTATAAATAATAACTATATATGTATATATGCAAGAACAGGTCAGAGGTTATTTGGTGTTGGAGTCAAAGAAACGTTAAAGATGGATGATGTAATAGTTGAGTGGAGTTCAAAGACAGATACGATAAATTATGTAAGCATTTGATGAGAAATCATGAAATATATAATGAATTCATATTATTCTACATCAATATTTGTTCTGGATTTATCCAAATGCATAAAAGGGAACTAATTATATGAAATCAATATCAATCAACATCAGAAGAAATCAAACAGATTCTAAACAAACATGATATAAGAGTGTATTTTAGAGCGAATAACACATTAAGAAAGTTAAGGACAAGTTAGCAAAGGATGAACAACAGAACATTGTGTATGAGATTCACTGTCATGACTGTAATGCTACTTATGTTGGAGAAACATCCAGGCAATTGAATGTAGGATTGAAGGAACACAAACAATGCTTGAAAAATGTTCCAAAATCCTCGATCGATTTAAAGAAACTTGAAAAGAAGTCAGCGATAGCGTTACATGCGTTAGAAACAGGACACAAGATTAATTTTGAAGGGACCAAAACACTTCAGAAAGGTTTTAACACTCATAAAGAAAGATTGACAGCAGAAGCTCTGCATATATGGGCGAACAAAAACAGCCTGAACCGAAAAGATGGTATTCAAATGGCAACTACCTGGCAAATTCCGTTTGACAAGTAAATTTGGAACCTATCTCTTGTTTAAACCTGTTTTTTAATATCAAATGCATCGTTATTATTATTGAAAGAACTCAATGAGTATTTTAAACAATACAATTTATGTTTTGACATCCACATCGATCTTTCATCATCAAGTTTTCATCCTTGAACGTGAACTTTATTTATTCCTTCATATCAATCTTTCACACATACATACATACCTACACACTCACACACATACGATTTGTTACTCAGTTAAGTATTTCCATGTAGTTGAATTCATC